TACTGTTTTGGAGCTGTTGTAACAGTGAACTTTCCCCACTGTGGGATCAATAAATCTTTCTTTATCTTTCCCTTTAACTCAGACTGTTACGGTTTCGTTTAAACTGTAAATGACACGACATCTCTGACATCTTCCTGTTTTAGGAGGACTTGGAGCATGACGACCACTGTGCCATCTGTAAGGAGGATGGTGAGCTGCAGCTTTGCCACAACTGCCCCCGAGCCTTCCACCCCAACTGCCTCCACCCGCCACTGAAACCCCCCCCCAGAGGCCCCTGGTACTGTCCCAAGTGCCAGAAGAAGGTACGACACTGGCTCCAGTCACAAAAATACTCGTAGACACAGACCTAATGCATCTAGCGTCATCCTGCTGCCAGTTAGCTTAGCTTAGCATAAAGCCGGAACACTGGAGGAATCTGCTAGCCTGGCTTAGACAAGAGTGAAAAACAAGTTAGCTGTTGTGAAGAAGCTAAGCTAACCTGCTGGTGATTGTAGCTTCACATTTACTGTTGAAGTAAACATCTGTCCTTGCTAGCTGTGGCTACATTAGCTTAGCATGAAGCCTGGAAATAGGTTTCTGTCAGAAACACAGTTCAGTTTGTCAGAGCAGAGTTTATTTCCTTTTCTGTTCCAGGATTAATATTATTGTTATTAATAAACTACATTTATCAGCCTTTAATGACTCACCGCTTGTTTCTGATCTGCAGGTTCTGAACAAAGAAAACATGTCGTGGCCTCAGAACTTCGTCCAGTCATACGTCACACACAAGACGGGTAACAATACATGTTCATACGTGTTGTGTTGTTCATACGTGTTGTGTTGTTCATACGTGTTGTGTTGTTCATACGTGTTGTGCTGTGTGTCGGCAGTGCGGCAGGAGGAGAAGCGGCGGCTGCTGAGGAGAAACACTGAGCTGAAGAAGGAATGTGCTCATCTGGAGGAACAAGACAAGAAGCTGAACCAGACGCTGCAGGTAAGCAGCAGCACACCTGTGCAGGTGTGGTTGGTGTTTGGACTGAGCTCTGGTGATCCGTGGGGATGCAGAACCTCCTACTGTAGATGTTTTCTTTGCTCCTGCTTCCACCCCTCGGAGTTCTCTGATCCTATGACGCTGGTACGACTTTGAACCAACATGGTTTACAACTAGCCCTGTTCCACCAAGTCCTTCAGACACGTTGGAGTCTGACCAACCGAGTGGTTTCATCTGGCTTCATGGATAAATATAACTGGGTGTCGTGTACTTAATCATGTAAATGTACGCAGCGCTTCCTAATAATATTGCCCAAGGGGAGCATGTACAAGGTAAATAATGTAGGTCCTACCACGGAGCCCTGTGGAACTCCGTAACTAACTGGTGCGGATGAAAGGAACAATCTGCCTGTTTTGTCTCTAAAAAACTGTGGTGAAACTGTGGATCAGTGTTTCCTCCAAGGTCTGCTAGTATTCAGTTGACTGTCCTGGAGGAGAAACCTCTGAGAACTAATCTATCGATCGAATGCTAAGCTAAAGCTAATGCTAACGCACTGTGAATGTGGTGTATGTTGCAGCAGTGCGTGGACCTGCGGGAGCGTCTCTTGGGGCAGCAGAGGGACACTCAGGCGTCGCTCGACCGCCTCAAAGCGCTCATCAGGCTGATCCAGCGCGAGCAGCTCATCCAGGTCACCATGACGACCACCGCCACCATCGCCGCCTCGCTGCTGTCCCAGTCCTGGATCAAACCCACCAGCACCGCCACCGCCGCCGCCGCCGGCCCCTCGGCCACGCCCCTGCAGACCAGCCACAGCCAGGATGACATCAACAACTAGCCCCGCCCCCTGAGTCCGGGTCGAGGGCGGCCATGACGGTTTCCTCTGAATAATATCCGACATGTTTTCTGCGACACAAACTGACAAGAGCCTCCTCCACTCGATTCAAGTATTTTTTAAACCCGACACCTACAGTGCTTACGAGATTTCTTTTTTTAAGTTCTTTTCTATTTATTCTTGGCCTTAATGTATTTATTACGAAAAGTTAGAGTACAGCGCCGCCGCAGAACTGTTCTGCTCGGCCCAAAAGATATTTCCCTTTTTTAAACACAGGAGTACTTATTGTTCTGCATATAGTGAGAGAGAACAGTAGAGTAGTGGTAGCGAGAACACGGACGAGTGTACAGCGATTATCGTAGATGTTTGTTCTCATTCTCCTATGAACAATGTTTTTGCCATAAGAATTCAGGAAGCTGTTTTCATCGTGTATGTAAACGCATACGAGCCTTCAAACAAAACAGAGAATAACGTTTTTCAGTATTAATAGAGTTAAAGTCAAAGAAAAAAGTATTTAAGATAAAACTACAGAAATTAGCATTTCTAGTGGAGATTTTAGTATTTTCATGCTGATGCCTGTTGATAAATGTGAGTCTGGAGTATTCAAGGGGATCACTGTACATAACTTGTATTATTATGATTATTCTTATCATCATCGCAGGTTTCTTCGGTTTTCAAACTTTACTGGAGTCACACATCCGAAGCCGAGTTTCTGTTCAGTCCAACTGCTGCTTTTCTGCTGCAGAACAAGAAAACGACTGCAGCTCCAGTTAAACCAGAACATATCAGAGTGTAGCTCCACCACACGGGCTGGTAGACGGTACCGGCCCATTCTGGGTCTGTACTGACAAAACAACAGCACGAGTCCCAAACACGACAGCAGTTCTTCAAAC